AAAGCAATCGCTATCGTACTATAGGCAAATCATAGAGACCCCCAATCTTCCACCACCGGAGTTGCTGCCTCCCGGTGAAAACGGATATCTCTATCAGATCTTAGAGCCCATATATTCTCCTTCTACTCAAGCCACGAAGTCTCAGACTGAGAGCGCCAGCGCGCGAAAAACAAAGCGGAAGCGGACCGAGGATTCTCCCGGTGAAGCTGCCGGTATCAGTGGCTCCTCTCAACATCCAAATAAGACTGACGGTATGTTGCAAACTCATCCAGACCCTCGTTCTCACTGCGCTTCTTTCAGCACGCGATCGAGAACTCGAGAGGGAGATAAGGAAATTACGCGACGCGAATGACTCCATACACAATGACAACAAGACGCTTACCGACGAGAACGAACGCATAAATATCAGGCTCAGAAGTTCGTGTTTGCCTCTTTTCGTTCATCCATTTCGGTGTTTACATATACAGGTCTCCAGCATCTCCTTCACCGCGAACGCTTTGATCGCGAGGAACGCGACATAGAGGAGCACCAAGAGCTCACCCTTCTCCGGACTGCACTTGTGCAGCTTGAATCCTGTTTACCGTCCATGTTGTCAGAGGCATCTGCTGCCCCGGTCGCGTCGACTTCAACACAAACACCATTATCCGTTATAGCCGACGCAATTACTGCAGTCGAGAACATGGCCCGTAGACGACTTGTCATTACTGATTTTCCAGATGTCGAAACATACGAGGAACCGGAAGACGAGGATGCGGAGGTTGAAGATGGAGCAGAGCATGCGGAGAAGGATATCGACCAGGTTGATCAAGTTATGCTTGACGTGGCCGATGCTCGAACACGGGAGGTGGGTACGACGAATAGCGTACCTGCCGTACAGAAGCCAAAGGCGAAGAAGAAAGCGCTTCCGACTCCTGCACCCGAAACATTCTCGACTACTACAACAGCGGCATTCGAGGACGGGACCAAACCGGACCACGGGACAATGGGTGGGCCAATGTCTTTCTGTTCTATTTTTTCGGACTGATACCCCTCGTAGTATGGGCGCGAATAGCGTCGCATCCATGGTATCCCGCTGTCATCTACGACGAAAATATGCAGGGAATACCAGCAAACGTACTCACTTCAAAGCCCAAACAAGCCTCGTCGCCCTCAAAGGATGAAAGTTGGGGCGGAGAGAAAGTTTGGTGTGTGGTCACGAGATGGTCGTTTTCTCTCTCCGTTTCCTCGCGTCTTTCCGAGTTGAGGTATCTATGTAGGGGATGGGTGCCATTACAGAAACTGCGGATGCTGGGGAACGATCAAGGTACGCTGCTTTCCATCCGATGTTACATTCAAAGCCAATGCGACAACAGTGCTCGACGACGACATGATGGCCATGAAATCGCGCATGCAGCGGAAATGGCCGTCTAGGGAGCGCGCAAAAGTTTTGGCCGCGTACCAGTACGTTTGCAGACATCCACTGCTTACTTTTCAGTTGATATTTCAATAGAGCGGCGATGGATAACATCGCGCCGGCGGAAGACGAGTAGGAGGAACAACTGTCGTCTCTTAGGAAGCTGTTTATATGAATTTTTCGTACATTATGAGTATCTATTGGACTGGTTACTTCGCTATTGGCCCGACGCGGCGCCCAACGGACTGTCGCCTTCAAGGTGAGGTGGCCGAGCGGTCTAAGGCGCCAGACTAGGGATCACATTGAGTTATTAACCGTTATTAATGGTTACTAACCTCCACGTGATCTGTGGCGCATTTTCTCTTTCCTGCTCGTGCAGAAAGGGTCAAGTTAGGGTTCTGGCATGTTTCTAGCTTATAAATAGCATTTATTGTGGGTCCTGGCTACCCTTTCACCTGCTCCTGCCTGGTCCCGCCACTCCCCGCCGACGCCGTGCCCGCTGATCATGTGCCTAAGGATTATTAACACCCCCGGGGGTGTTATTAACCCGGTTATTAACTGGTTAAATATACAACGGCGCGATATTGGGGGTACTTATCCTGCGCAGTGCACAACCCTAGGCCAGAATGAAAATAATGCATTGTTGTAGATTATAGTTGTCCATAACATCTATGTATACTGCTTAGGTTCCACTGGGGAAGCTGTACTGACAGTAGTGTGATGCATTATTCATAAGTCCCTGATAACTTACAAATGAAAGCAGCATGCTCCATGCCCACTGCCCGGCAGCCAGCAACAATGATTGGGGCTCAGGGCTGAGGAAACTTTTAGGGTGTTGCAGTAACTTGAAATCCTACTTAAGCCCTACGTTTTGATACATCCAAGGATACATCTCCACTTTACTAACAGTATTGATACAGTATCAAAACCTCAGCTGAGGCATAAGGACAGTTTTGATACCAGCACTTGATCACTGAAATGATGGCCCACCGGTGCTAAGGACAAGCAGGGATTGGCGGCACAGAGGCGGGATCAGGGCTGCACTGCGCTGCGCCACATCACGTGGTCGAAAGCACGTGCCGGTATCGAAAACCGTTAGTAACGGTGTCAAAACTAGGGCCTGCCTGGGGGTTGGTATTGATACCGTTAATTAATAAAGGTTTACTGCACCACCCTAGGGCTAAGGGAAATTCCAAACTCGGGAGTCGGGACTGAGGAAAGGCAAGCGGTTTCGGTTGTGTGTGGCGCAGCAAAAATCTGACCTCAGCTGAAGACTCAAGAGAATTCATGACAACTGTGAGACTCGAACTCACGCTCTTTCGAACTAGATGGACTGCCAGAAGACTAGCCTGATTCTAGCGCCTTAACCACTCGGCCAAGTTGCCATATGGTAAAGTTATACAAGTTACATATGTACCTCCGTCAGTGACAAGTCCAAGATGCCACAACCTGAGCATATTTCTGAAGTACTTGTTGCCCCAAGGATGTAAACACTCAAACCAGTAGTGAGGTATTCAGACTGTACTGTACTATCGCGACCGTTAATTCACATAACGGGTCACGCGGGGCAATGAACTGAACCTAATTGATCTTCATAACGCGTAACAGGCCAAAAAATCATCGGCAACGCACCTTATATGGAAATTTAGCGCGCGGCGGCTGCTGCCGCCGCCTCCCGCCGCTCCCAATAAGGACTATGGACCCTGTATGAACTAGTGTTGCGTTGGTTCACAACAGTAACACGTAACACCCCGTGAAGATCCGGTCGCGATAGTACAGTACTCAGGGTTTATTAATGAGGCGAGTATTCAAAGAGGGTACTACTCAAACAGAGCATCTACAGATCCTCTAACACTGTTTTGGAATACTCCAGCTCTTTAACTAAGCAGTCCAAGAACTTAGGGATCTCCACCGTAACCGTACAATACGGTTTACGGGTACAATTCATACGGTAAACCGTACCGTCCCGTAAGGCACCTCGACGTGCATTATATGGTTACGGTTACGGTATCATGGCTAGCTCTGCGAGGAGGAACACTGAGTCAAGTTGGTGCACCCTCGGGGACACAACATGACCAGGGGCCTCCATCCCAACCCTTACTTGCCACCTCACCTCTCCCTCCCTGCCACCCGGCATACGGGCTTGTACGGTACGCGAAGCCGTCCCGTAACCGTACCGTATTCACTGAAAACCGGTCCCGTAAGGCACCGTAAAGCGTACGGCCGTAACCGTATACGGTTACGGTGGAGACCCCTACTTGAAGTTGAAGAACTTACTTGAAAACAATTATCCACGATACAGCCCATATCTCGCGAAACAGGCAAACGACGAAGGCACTGTGTTCAGGTTCACGGGAGTTTATACTCTTACCTCCCGTTGTTCCTCGTCCACTCAACGCGAACGTTTGTACAACTGAAGCATTTAGATCGTATTCGGCGTTTTCTAAGCCTGATACAAACTTGTTGTTCCGCGCCCGCGCATGCGTTGGATTTCGGGCATTCGAATCGAGGTGACGACTGCTAACGCCGTGAACAGTTAGAACGATAAGACAAAGAATGGGTAAAGGGAGTACCAGTTGTCGTGAGTTACAACAAGCGCCTCAGCCACCTTCGGAACATCTTGCTGTCGCTGGCAACACGTACGGACGCGTGCTCCGTGCAGTGGACGAACAGCCTGGTCCCCGGCAAGGTCGTGAGACCGAGGACGCTGGCACACAGCGCACACATGCGCTGGTAACGAGCCTCGATGTCAGCCTTCTTCGTCGCGTTTTACGCCCTTAATCTAGAAAAAACGGATTCGGCAGGAAAGGCCAACTGACCAAAGGAATGCGATTCTTCAGAATCGGATTGTTGGGAGTTTTATGCGAGCTGAAGGAAAGATACCAGAGGATTGTGCGAGTAAGGCCTTTCGTCGGATACTTTAGGCGAAAGCAACAACAGTCGGAGGACACGAAGCAAAGATGGGGCTGGCGCGACGTAGATGATGGCGTGCAAGACGGCGTGGTTAGTCCGGACCAAGTCCCAACGGGAAACGCCATTGACGGTGCAAAGCTATATTCGCAGCGTTTGGCGCGCTGCGTTAGAACTTCCAACACATTTCGTACTGCAGGTTCCTTTCTAATTGGGATCGTCGCCTGTCTGCTTGATGCTTTTCCGATGACCCTAAACATTTCTCTGTGGGGAGGGGAAAACAGTGTTCTTTCGACAAAATGAAGCAGGCAATTGCAATTGTGCAATGGTGAAAGTGACGAGCGGAGCAAAAGACAAGTCGACGTCGCATTCGGAACTGTCCCGAACTCCGAACCGTGCACAGCCACATATGCGACTTGATTCCGAGCCACGTCCACGGCCACGTCTATAACGACGCTTAGCTCCCGCCTCCACTTACAATGCCCGGCCCAATTGCCTGGCTCGCGCAAATCCCGCCGGTCACTCGCACCTGGCTCCTCCTCTCCCTCCTCACCTCACTCGCCGTGCATTCCCACCTCCTCACGCCTCTCCAACTGTACTCCCCAGCGTCCCTCTCCCTCTCCTCCCTCCTAACCACCCGAACAATAACCACGTTTCTCTACTTTGGAACGCTATCTCTGGATCTCATGTTCCATCTATTCTTTTTCATGCGCTACAGCCGCATATTGGAGGACTCGTCGTTCCCAGCCCAGCCGGCTGCTTATTTGTGGCTGCTACTCCAATCCGCTGTGCTGCTCCTTCTAATGTCACTGACCCCGCTGGTCAATACACCTTTTCTCTCCAGCGCGTTGGCATTTGTGCCCATATATGTATGGTCGAGAAGGCATCCGAGCACGCCTATATCGCTGTTCGGTTTGGTGACCATTGGCGCGCCGTACTTGCCTTATGCCCTCATTGCGTTCACCGTACTGATAAATGGTGAATGGAGAGCGGCCCAGGCGGATCTGATGGGTTGCGCTGTAGGGCACGTCGCATGGTTCATTCGCGATGTCTGGGCACGAGAGATGGTCGGCGGAAAATCAGTCCTCACTCATCCACCAGAGGCGCTGCAGAGGTTGTTAGGAGATGCATGAGTAAGTACTCGTGATGTTGTTGTGGTCATTAACTCATCCCGCGCAGTTTTGTATGCAATGTGTACCATCGCATCCTTCAATGCTTAATTTGTATCAACATGTTATCAAAACATTCTCGGGACAGCATACTATTGTGGTATTCTGATAAACTGGCCGATTACCAACCGCCCTCGAGACCGAATGTATTGCAAGATATCACTTGTAGGGCGTCCTTTCAGATTTTTTCCTCGCTCTTCAATATCTGCCACCAGCACTTTGAAGTTTGGAACTACTTACTGTCAAGTCATTAGTATACCACTATGTTTCAAAAGACGGCCATCTCTCTTCGATCGCTGCAGAACATGACGTCGTAGTCAAACTCTCAAACTCCGTACGCGTGGAGTGCATACGATAATAAGCGGATGCGCACTTCCGCGATGAAAGCCTTGCTATGTTCCCACGTTTCGAACGAGATGTCAACGTCCGAATCTGAATGCGCATCGGGACAATTTTTTCAGCCAGAGGTTGCGTGTCAGGCCGACCAGGAGCGATCTATGTGGTGGGAGGGGTCGCCCAGAGACACGACACACTATACGTGCAATATCTGGTTCTCAGGATGGTTGACGGGCGATGAGCACCGTGTCATGGAACGATCCTTCTCCTTTGTGGAGGTGGGGAAACTCTGTGAATCGCGACTCTACAGAGTTAAGCAGACTTATCCAAAAAACAGTTTCCAAGCACTGTATGTGGATGCGTCGGAGTCTTCTACTCGTCCCAGACTCGTCCTAACCCTTTGTGAATATCGCGTGTAGTATGAATTTGGAAGGCTCATGCCCGTGTACGTAGCACCGCGCTGCTAGACTGAAAAGAACTGAGAATTCTCCCTGCCGGAAAGAGGTTCCCAGCTTGAGTTCAAGGACATACGTTCTGAAGAGCGCGTAGTGATCGACGGGCCTTAGTCAGCTACGACTTTCTCTCTTCACCACCACCATCAGCGGGATGGAGCGCGACCAACACGCTCGCGGATGTCCGTCTCCTTGTTCCTTGCTCAGAACCGCCATCTGAGCCAAGTCTGATTCTTTTCCCATGGTGGGCCCGTGGCATCCCACGGACCTATTTCAGGAAGGCTGATGAAGCGAATTTCTTCAGGCCGTGTGGACTCCTCGAGGCTTGGTACCAATCCTACGTCGCGGCTTCTGGCGCCTTTCTCGCCGTTAACTTGCTCATTATGGATTGCGCGGTGAGCATACCACAAACCTGCGACATCGCATTTCTCAGCGTATATAAGGCGTTTTGGGTAGACAACGCGCCGCACGATAGAGGTCCCTGATTAGGCAGTCTACTGCTTTTAGTGAAGGTGTGCCGTACTTCCCATCATAGAACGAAAGTCTACTGAATGAATGCCAGGCGTCTACTCAGCTCTTCCTCCTTCCGCCAGCATCCATCCGCCGCGAACATGGATCATGCGCAATACATCGTCAACCACGTCTTTATGCCCCTCAAGCTGCCACAGGCTGATGAACAGACCGTGGGCAACTATACGAAGGACCACTCTCTCGCCGAATGCATAGCCGAATGCGCGGCAGGATACAGCACTGCTGCCTTCCAAGCGACTGGAGGGCACACCCCGTCGTCTTATTGGCCAGCAATCCTTAGGATGCTGCAGGGAGTTGCAAGAATTCATGGCTCCAGGAACTATACAACCGAGAGTATCATTGATACATTCGCACCACTGCAGCTGGAGGTAAAGTTGAAATTATGATTTACTACGCCTTTTTTGATGCCTTACAGATACGACGGCACTGCTCATTCGGGAGCAAAATGCAGGTGTCATTTTCCGAGTTCTCGAGTCCAACGTTCGCTGTGAGGTCTTCGAAGTCAGCGCTCCCAATGCGGCAATCATGGCCTGCGAGAACAAGGTTGTATGGACATTCCCCGGACCATCCACCTCGTTTCCGAGGACCATCTTCGATACAGTTGCCTTTCGAAGGGAGCTCGCCTCTTTCATTGCCCAGATGAACTGCGATGAGCTGCCTGGATCGGCAACTCATTCCCGGAAGGCGGGCTCTTCACAGATTGAGCGTCGCGATACGGCGCATCCGCGTTATATCAGCGATTTGCTTATCTGCGTTCTGGCTGCCTTGGGCGGTGAAGGAAATCCCATCGTCGACGCTGCGCATCGCGTTCAGAAGCGCATCGCCGACGACGTGCTCTGGAGGGACGCCTTGGCGCCGTGGAGGCGCTCGTCCCTCTGGCTAGTCATTCGTGTTGCAATACAGACCACATTGGAAAATCTTTGGGAGTATAAAGCCTTCCTGTTGTACGCAATGTCTGACATTGCACTCAAAATCGTGACAGAACAA